CGGCCACTGCAGATGCCATCCAGCCCTTTGCGGGACGAAAAAACGCGGCGCTCGTGCATATACACAGCATCATATCCCAAGCAACGGTGCCCAGAGTGTCCCACGGTGCATCTCTGGGTGCATTTTGCGAGCTAATGCGACTCTGAACTTTTCCCCGGAAAAGTTTCCGCTGGTCCCGGACTGTAAATAAGATCTGTTGTCGTGGCCAAATTATCCCACAATTGTTTGACGATGTCGAGCAACTCGGAAGAGGCTCTTCGGCTCGTTCAATATCGAACCGACCCTGTTGATAACGAGGCCACGCAGGCACTACCGGATGGGGCCCCGATCTGATGTGTCCAGGGCGGGCCCCAACCGTGGTCGACAGCCGTTTACGGAGCACTGCGTACAGATTTAAACCCTGTTTTTCGCCTCGTCGGTGAATTGCTATCTCGGACCAAAAGAGCCTGCTCTAAATGCCGATAACACAGCGTCGGCAACGCAAATCTCGTTGCCGAACGCCGTACAAACCATGGAGAAGAAACTTCCAGCCCTGCCCTAGGGATCGCACACGAAAGACCTGGTGCGATGGTGTCCTTGGAGTCGCGTTGTTCCTGCAGTAGCGTCTTCCCATTTATCCCAGTTATCCATACCTCTCAGGGCCCGACTGGGTCTAAGCCCCTGGTCGCCGGAAAACCAACCAGCGAGCCGGGTTCTTTCGTGACCTCGAAGCAGGCATGCCCCTGTCCGCCAGGCTACGGCTCCATGAACCTCTTGTCTGCAGTCTTGGTGACTACAGTACAAAGTCTGTAAGGCACCCGCGGGCAACGAGCTACTGCAGCAGCATCCGGGCTCATCCGATCGACGCGCCGGCTTGCTTGTGGCGATGGCTGCTCGGTATGGGTGTTGGGATTTGACTTTGACGGCTTCAACGTTGTCGTGGTCAGACTGCCAATCCCTACGTACGTAGGTCATGATGCGAGATATCGAGATAAGAGGAACGCTGGAGGACCAACTCGCCACGTTGTCTGCGTATTGCTGGGCCTCTCACTAGGCGTTGGGGTCTCTGTATCGCGCCCTAGCTAGACGGCTACTGCACATCATGAATGCAACTGTGATTCAACCGCCTTAGTGGTGAGAATGCTTGCAAGCGTAACGGTGGTCACATTCCAAGGCAATCGCTGCGTGCCAACTCAATTGCTGAGGCTCACCACGTGCGTCAGTTGCTGCCATAGGCGCGCAGCTGTACGTGCTTCTCCAACACGGCCGAATGGTTTGCAAGCTACGTCCGTAGTCTTAAGGCCGCAGCAGTACGGAAACCAGACTGGCGGGCTTGATGGCCACATTCCAGCGTTGCGTCAACTCGTAAAGGTGCCATTGCGATGTATCCGTATGTCTCAAAATCAGACAAATCTGATAGCTGCAACGGTCAACTACGGTAGCCCGTTGTCACACGGTCCTCTGAATGGCCACATCCACAGTGGCGTTTCTTTGTTTGCAGAGACGACAGCACGTAGGTATTCCTCGGATTGTGTCTGGTAGCCGAATCGTCACAAGCGAGAGCGATTGCCAGCGAGGCATGTGTTACGCCATTCTAGCTCCGGCATGGCGACATAGACTTTGAGGGCATCGACGCCACCAACCGCTGGCCGGTCCCTCGGGGCTGGATTTCAAAAGCCAACAGCTCTGCCAGGTAGGCCATGGCGGCGCCATGATCAGGAGCGGTCGCTGCGACGGTTGCCCAGCCCGGCGGCGTTGGCGGGAGATCTAGCGGCGACATGTCCAGAATAGAAAGCTTAGGCCCTGTTGCGCATCACCTCACCTAGGCGGCGGCTTGCCGCTTGCGCATGGTGCTCACCTGAGACCTGTGTGCTCCAGATAGAACGGACCCCGACGAGAATAGACGCCGGAAGATAAACAACGGGAGCCCGCTCGCAAGTCTCTTCGGTGACAGCGCGCCGTCCGGCTTGAGTATCTGTTTCTGGAGGTCCCTTCAGGTAGGAAACGTACACGAATGGCAGCCGTGGCTTGCCAGGTCAAGGCGGCGTTGAAGAGGTAGGTATAGGCGATTTCAGGGCCGTGAGTTGGGACTCCGGAGCCAAGGGTAATTCTCGCGAGAGAATCTGGCCAAGGCCCTGGTTCAGCTGGCAAGAGTCAGGCGGCTGAAGAAGATGGCATTCGGCGTGTAAAGACGGCTGCAAACAGGGCCATGGCCTCCTGTGGTCACGGTCTATCCGGATGATGGATTATGATGGATGTGGTGCCATTGTCAGGTTAGGATGACTAAGAATTTGCAGTTGAAGAAGGCCCCATCGTCAGGTACCCTCAGGCACTCTGATTTGCGGGCAGCAAGACGTCACCCCCAGGGCACCTACTGCCTTAGGTAAGGAAGTGAACCTGGAAGGTGCCTTGGTGAGCTGCCCCTCAACTTGGAAGCACCTGCCGCTGCAGTTCGTTGATCGACCGATATCACTCGTGACCTGCAAAAATGAAGGACTCAAGACTCAGGAATCGTCGGTCACCAGACATCCACAAAGCATGCCACCAATGACTGTGTTCGGCCTTTGACGCCCTTTGTTATCCTTTCCTCTGAATCCTTCAAGCTCCTCGAGTTCCTCAACCTCTTCCAGCTCCCATAGCTCCCACCGCCCTGGCACTCCCCGGAATTACCTCACACTGGGTACCTCACGCGCCACTTCTGACGCACATTCACCCCACCTTCCCGCCTGTCACCGCATAGGTAGCTGCGACCATCGCGGCGACGACGATCCCTCGCTTCAACTGCCTGGCACCGCATCAGCCACTCGATTTACCAAGATAGTCCTTCACAAATGACATGGCACCAGACTTGAACTCTCTTCCTTCATCACCTCCATCTCTGCCCATTCGATCCAGAATGTCCTCCACCAACGGCGAAACTCCTCTTCCTCCTGCGGCCGGCGGTCCAGCTCCTCGTGGGGAGTCCCCCGCTGGCTCGCCACGACGCCAGTCAACCTCGCTGCAAGCCGCAGCTACGTTGAACGCTAGCCTTCAAAACGAACCGTCTCGACGTATGTAATCCCGAATGCATCGGAAAACACTCGCTAATTGGATCAGGCTCCTCCAGCGGTTCCGTATCTCGAAGTCGACAGTCACCCAACGCCGGCCGAAGACTGTCTACGGTTCTCATGAACCTGCAGCTTAACGATCCTTCTCTTCCCGGCCCGGGTGAGATGGTCGCAGATAACCAACACGGCCAGACTGGTGCCACAACTGCCAGTCCGCAGCCCATGACAACCTCGCCCATGATGGTTCCCGGTGGTGATCCCCATCACAATCGGGCGCCTAGTCTGGGAGAGCTCCACCAGGAGCTTGAAGCCGAGCAGGAAGCTCAAGTCGTATGTCTCGGTTTGCATCGAACTTGATACAAGCTGACACACACAGAACCGCCTCCTCCAGATGATCCGCCAGCAGCAGTTGCAGCTCCAGCAACTCCAAGCTGGCCAGGGACAGAGCTCTTCCGCTGTCGAGGACTCGGCGATTGCTTCTGAGAGATCCAACCAGGGAACCCCCATTTCGCAGCCGCCTTCGGGCTTCGCTCCGCTGCCTTCCTCGGGCTCCTTCTCGCGATCCCCGGTTGTGCCCCACCCACGAAGCTCCTTTGATATGGCGAGAGCAGATATCCAACGCCGCTCTCGAACCCCGAGTCGCGGCGCTTCTCCGAGACTGCGCTCCACATCTATAAGCGGCGACAGCGGTGAACAGTATACCCTCGGCGGTCGAGACGAAAGCGCCTTCTACCAGGCTGAGACCCAAATGCTGGTCAGGGAGAACCAGATGCTCCGTCACCGCATAAGAGATTTAGGTAAGTTTCTCGGGGACGTCTAGGTGGTGTTGATGCTGATGACGTTTTTTAGAGAAACAATTGACGGATCTGCTGCCTGCAACCAGCTCCCAAGGCAACCCCAGCGAGCCCGCCCATCCATCTCACCTCAGAGCTGCCGCTGCCGGCGAGGAGGTTGCGACACCCCCGACTAGCGACGTGGCCAAGGAGGCGTGATTGGACTGTACCATTCTATGGGGGTGGAAAGCCCCGGGATATCTGGCGTTTCGGAAAACTTGCTACATCTCACGATTGCAATGACATGGCTTAGGCGTTAGTCGGACGGGCGGGATGGGCTCTCCTCTGTGTTGCTATTAGTTCCAGTATCAATAATGGAGTGCAAATGATTTGAGATGCGATGATGAAGCTGCTTTCGTGATTTAAAGTGGGGGGTCATGATTGTGAATGCTGAGTTCAATTCAACCTGTTGTTGCGTTGCGTAACCCTGTATCGTCAACAGATCGCGACTCGTGCGCACATTAGCTTCAGGGCAGTTGGGAGGTTGTTTAACTGAAGCACGACATCCTCATTGTCATTTTCTTTGCCGAATCAAGTAAAAAAGACGCAAATTGCAAAAGATTTTGGACGATCTGGGAATCGAACCCAGGACCTACCGCATGCTAAGCGGTCATTATACCACTAAACCAATCGCCCAACCAATGATGGAGATGGAAGTGAATTATGGTATTATCAAGCTGACTGCTGCCACGGCAAGCTGCTCACGAACTACGCAGCAACAACGTCCATTGCATGCGTCGTCACAGCCTCGAGGCGAGTGTCACGACAAGTAGTACGCGGCAAGTTTATTTGGCTTCGTCGGATGCGTGCGGCTCCCGGAAAGGTTAATGGCTAAACAGAGCCAGGCACCCATGCGATACCTAGGTCTGGTTAAACTCAGTTACCGGACGATCACACTGTAAAGATCTTGTTTGTATTATTGTTCTGTTGGCTATCTGTTGGCCATGACTCTCGGTGAGCCGTCCTGATCCCACAACCTCTTCTATGCCAGTATGAGGAATATCCAACCCAGCTCCGACCACGTCGTAGCTCTTAAACAAAAGTATGCCGTCGCTGTGGGTTGCTTTAGTGAAAAGCTACCCTACGGCGTCGACTTGCTAATCAAGGGCCTGGGGGTTTTTTTTTTTTTTTTTGGTTATCTTCAGTATGGTGATCGCACGCTTCCAAACGCCGCTTCTGTACCCGAATCGTTCTTGTCTTTCTTGGTCTCGAGCATATATCCGACGCACTCATTTCTGAGCTCGTCATGTCGAGTCGAGCCAACACCTTGGACAATATCCTTGTCGTAGTAGACAAAGATGCCGCCGGTATTAGCCGGTTTTTCTCCTAACACTATCGAAAAAGGTCCTCCGACCACGTCGTAGTTCTTGAACAAAAGAATACCGTCAGTATGAGGCGCTCCGGGGAAATTTTTCCCAACAGCTTCAAGTTGCTTTGAGAAATCTTTCCGGGGGGGCTGACAAAAAGACCAGGCCGTTGGGGAGAACGACCGTCGAGCCTCCGGGCTTCATACCGTACTCGCGCGCAGCCTTCGAGAACAGCTTGCCAACATTGCCGTTCAGCTCGTGATCTTCTTTCATTCCTGATGCCATCTTGGAGTTGATAAATGTTGGTAGTAGGAGTGGAGACAAAGCTTGGTGACGATGATGATATTGGTGAGGGTGAGGGTGAGGGTGAGGGTGAGGGTGAGAGAAGTGAGAGTGGCGGGAGGATGATGTTGGTGAAGTGGGGTGAGTCAAATTTAAAAGTCTGGCACGCCAGGTATTTTGTGAAAAGCTGGATGGGCACCTTGCCTAGGCAACCGGGGGAGAGCAGAATGAGAAGGTGAAGCTTGAGTGAGAAGAGGCTCAAATCACATGACCCTAACAGGTTGTTGAAAAGTGTTACTCACTTTGCTGCACGTGAAGCGATGCGAACAGGCTGGATATGGCCTAGCCAGTATAACGAAGCGTATTCGGGGAAGTGTCTTGATGCCTTATGCACTTTGAATGATCAACTCTTCCTAGGGTCATCTTCGTGCAACTGTACCCATCACGGATCCGATGTCTTCACAAGGTAGGGTGCCCATCCACTACTACCATCAAGAGGGGACGTGAGAGAGCAAATGAATAGGTCAAATAACACACATTAGCACCCTACATTATTCCGACATGGCCGCATCACTAATACTTGTAACGTCAGTGTGAGATGTCACAGTATAGTAGTGGCAATCTGAACTGAGCTTTTGGAGCTATTGGGCCCTCTCTATCTCAGTCCATCTGCCCAAAACTAGCCTCTATCTTTTTCACTTCGTATACGCTCACGTCCAAGGAGCAAGAGTCGGACCTTGCGAATTGTAGAGTCCCGAAACGGACACCAAGTGAAAGAAGCAGTGGCCCGGCCTGACCTTGTATTGTAGGCGACGAAGAAGCAGGCCATGACGCAGCAAACACACTTCAGGTGGCGGCAATCCCGAAGAAAATAGCAGATCAAGATTGTAATATATTCAAGGCAAACAGCAGGTCAGATCTGGGCACGTCGTGAAGGGAAAGACAGGGAGGCCATTCTTGCGAACAACCAGATCATCACGGACACCAGGGTTGCAAGCACATGATCAAGCAACTGAATCTTTCAACAGAAATTACGACGAAAGGACGTCATAAGTCAAACACATCACGTAGAACATCAAACGGTAAAGAAGCACGAGGCGCGAACGAATTTGTCAGATAGACCTTTTCTCATTTCTTGTCTTCCTGACAACTGCCGGTAAAATGTGATCCACCTCAGCTGTTGTGGGCTCTAACGGTATCTTGATGAGTATGCTGACCGAGGGTCAGGCGCGTGGCCTCGGTCATAGTCCGTCGAACCACGTGAAGAGTCAAACCGACGAGAGGAGGTTGCCCGTGAATAATCATGACGACGCATGTCAACTTCGTATGCGAGGCTGTGCTCCCGAGAACGAATTCGGGACCATGGGGCCTGTTCGTACTCTTGCCGGTCCATATCTAACGAGTGTTGGTACTCTTGATCGGGCGAGTTTGCCCGTGTGTAGTCTGACCTACGCGCATCGGACGCGTGACGGTATTCGCGATCAGAGAGACGAGGCAAGTTCGGCCGGGAGTATTCTTGACGACTCAAAACAATGTCGTACGCGCGTCGATACTCAGGCGCAGCCGACTGTTGGTACTGTGCACGAGAGCCATAGCTATATGGCTCATCTGCATACAGAGGCTCACGATGGCGAAGCTCACTCCGAGGCTGCTCGCCACGAAGCTCATAACAATGAGGCTCCTCATGGCGAGCTTTTCCGCGAGACGTTATGTCGTGCTGCTGTGTGGGATAGATGCGAGAAGATGCCCTCGGTGGCGACGGGATCCGGTATGTGCGAGATGGCGGAGAGCGTTCCCCAAGTTCCCTCCGGGACGATGTCGATTGTCTGTATAGGTTGGCGGGCAACGTCGAAGGGAAGGGACTCTGCAACGAAGGCGTCTCGGGGGTGAGCCGCAATGTCGCAGCAGGCTCGGGGATCTTTGGAGGCTCGGCAGCGCTGTTGCGGATGGAGTCATTCATGCCATGTCTCTCTGCGGATTTGGCCACTTGAATCGTAGGGGTGAAGGGGGCGGCAGAAGCGGTGGGAGAAGCCACAAGAGGCGCAGACTGAGGTTTGCTATAGGTGATGGTGTTTCTCCGCGACGAAGAATTGATGAACTCCTCGGTCGCCTTGTGAGGCTCTTCCTGAGTCGCAGTGAGCCTTAAACCGTGCTGCCAAATACGGAGGTGTTGAGGCAGAGGGGTTGTCGCCTCGACGACTATATCACTGGCTCCGTGCTCATTTACGAGCACACTCGTGATGAAGTCGTCCAGGCGACAATCCCTTTGTCTTAACACCTCCATGTATGGCAGCATGACCATGTTCCAGGTCAGGAGGACCGCCTCTCTCATCTGGTCCAAGGGCTGGGTCCAGTTAGAGTAGAGAGCGAGAGTGTACCTCTCTGAACTGTACCCAAATGCCAACCTGTTGTCAGGAAGGTAATGGTTGGCCAATTTTACGGCCTTAGCGTTCACGAAGCAGTTTCCTGCAATGCGATTCTCAGGAAGAGTCACGACAAATGAGTCTTGGCCCTGGGGATGGTGGGAGACGATCCCAGCAGACAAAGCTTCCCTGAAGAGACGCTTCAGGGGCTTCTCGGCCTCGCGGATCTTGGCCGCGATCGTTTGGCCGGGCAGCTTGAGAGGCCCAGAATGCCAAGTCAACGCTGCAGTCGCTGGCCGCTGTTTGGTTCCGAAATTCTCGACATCCATTTTCACCTTCTACAATTCGTTAGCAAGAACGAAAAAGAGGAGGCTATCCATACTTACTGTCGCTAGTGTGTAGATGGTATAGCAAATATAATTTCTCTCTTGAGATGGGGTGTTCTTCTGCTGATGGGATTGGCAGGAAGGAAGAGAGAGCGTTGATGAGGGGAAGAAGGATGGGGAGGAAGAAAAGAAAATCAGAAGAGGTAAAAAACCAAAGCCCAGGAAGAAGGGCCTTTTTTTTTCATATTCTTCGAGTATTCGTCGAGGAGTACCCACCACGTCGGTGTGTACCAGGCATGCGTCGTTCAAGGTGAATCACCATGTTGTCATTTGCTTGTCTTTGATCTAAGAAAAATCTCTGTCTTTCCCGTCAAAAAGCCACCCAAGTCTTTGGGTTCCATCCTTTCCCAAACTCACCATACCTTCATTCAGCCCAACACAATGATAGACCAAGCTGCTCCGGATGATCATCGGCTCTTCTGTCTTGGTCCCAGAGACGATGCCTCGGAACCCGAAGTGATGTCTGGTTTCGACTGCGTTACGATGCTGCTCCGGCAGTTCCTTCCCTACATCTAGCCCGAGAAGCGAGTGTCGTTCAATTTGGAGTCTGTGCTTATGCATTACGTCTGTCGTGCAGACTTCACCCGATAGTCGGCGGAAGAGAAGCGAGAGCTCATCAAGAGATTACACCCGAACCTAGGCCCCGCGACGTTTGAGGAGCTCGTATACTCGGAGCAAGTGTCTCAGCTCATATGGGAGAAGCTAGACCGCCTGTTGTCTGCTCACGCCGTCTGGCGACCTGGGCAGAAATGGGCATACGAGACCAACGAGGAGGAGGCTCATCGCACCTTCATCCGGATCGAGTGCACCCCGGCCGCCGACGAAGCGCAGATGTTGGAGTCGCTCCAGACTTTCCAGGTCGAGGCCGTGTCCTCTGAACAAGTCCGGTTCGCCCTGATTGCCGCCGTGTGTTACAGGAACGAGACGACGCCGGTCTATCGAATCCGCCTCTTCACTTGCCGAGGGATCGAACCCCTCCCTCATTATGAGGGAATATACAGTGATACCGACTGGGAGTTTGGCGCGGTTGGGCACACGTACTTATTGCTTTATGTGCGGAGCAATATCCCGCTCGCCGAGATCACGCCGCACATGCACAACATCATTGCCTGTCGCGTTCCCGGCACGCATGAGCATGTGGCGGGAGACGAGAGAAAAAACAGATACGCAGCATGATGCAGGCGTCTCTTGAAAGAGGCCGCGCCGAGCTTCGTCGTTGAGCTGAATAGAACTTGGTGTTGAATCTTCGTTGGAGGGCGGGCTTTGAGTTTCGGGAGTGCTACATGTATTGCATGGCTTACCTTACATTGAGGGAGCGACGAGAATTGCTGGATTGGTTCAGCGCTAGACAGTTGGAAGCCGATCATGAGGTTTCCCAGTCAAATGAATTCGCGTTGTAACGGACTGTTGGCATTGTATTCTCGGGTTGTGTCCTGGTGCCGGTGCCTCCGTGCCATGAAGTCTCTGTGTCCGTGCTGACAAGATAGTTACTCCTGTCCCGCAGACCCACTTTCGGAGTGTCAAGATCGGCCCCACCCAGACCGAAATGCCGGTCTGACCGTCCACACGCCGTCTCAAGGTCGACGTCTCGACTCCAATATTTAGTTGACAAAAGTGATACAATTGAAGTAGAATTGATATTCGGCCTGTATTTGAAGTTCAGTCGAATCGTCGCACCTAGATGTCTTGGAATCTTTCGGCGATCATCGCCGTTGGATCGAGTAGGAAATATAATAGGACGAGAGGAACTAAATGCTTCGGCTAGAGGTGCTTGTCATGAACTTTGACGACTGGACGGACAGGCCAAATTGAGATATATACGCTCTTGACCTACTAATCACCCCGCGTTTCCATGCGACTGTCGTGTATGGAACGTGATCAGTGATTTGAAGACTACTATAGTCTCTGGAACACGCACCAAGATGAGTTCCTAAGAACTCGCATAACTTGTACAAGCTGGTCAACTAGAAGCAATGTGGATTAAGAATAGCTAACAAAAGAACTTGCGCATGGGCGCTTGGTATGGCAATACTAATGGGTGTGAAGGTGTGGACAGTCATCGCCGCCTAAGGTAGAGAGGAAAGGCTTCATTAATAAGAGACTTACGAACGATACAGTAGAGGCAGCTCAAACCAATACGAAGGACAAACAGACGTACATATTATTGCCAAGAGGCCAGGTATCAAAAGAGCGGCTTGCCAGCACCTGCCTATCTGGGAGGGGGAGTTTCATCGACAGAGCCTCGTCTTAATGCTGCTTATGAAGGGTACGGCCTAAGGGGTCAGTCTACTGGCAGCACGACATGCCAAAGGGCCCTCTTCTATCTCCTTGACTTTATATAATGCCCTCAACGCCCTGGGCCCTAAGATCTCTATTGGAATCGCTTCTCTGTTGAAGAAGGCTACGTACCTTGCTACCATGGTGGGCCAAGGTATGAGAGGAAGGGGCGCACTTTCCATCAAATCAAAATACACGCTGCAGTATGTGTTACACGGAGTGATATATATCAAGGGGGCTACTACCCAATTAAGCGATATTCAGCCGGCAGAAGAAACGGCCTCTCACCTGCCCATCCCTTCTTCCACATAGGTAGGTAAGCGAGTAAGGTGCAAGTTTTGACAGCGACTGCCTAGGTAGGGAATTTGGGATACCTAGGCAGGAGCAAGGTAGCCCAGGTGGGGCGCCTTCCTGAAGGTATGGGCACCCTTATAAATACTTCTTTCCCTTCCTCTTCTTCTCCTCTCTTCTCTTTTCCCCACACCATCTGAAAAGAAGTCGTAGGTACAATCTTCACCAGGCCCTCACTGTCAGAGAACCAATCGCTAATAACAAAAAAGTGCTAGGCATGCCGCCAACGATCATAATGACAGAAGCAGACGGTGAATCCGGGAGAGCGAGAGAGAAGGAGATCGAGAAGGAGAATGCGGAGCACAATGCTCACGTCAAGTGGCTGCTGGAGCAATGCGTCACGTTGACCAGAGAAAAGAACGAGGCCAAGGAGGAACTCCAACGTTCCAAGGCTGAAATGATGTCGCTCACTAGCGAAAATGCAAGGCTCTCGCAAGAGATTGATGATACCAAGGCGCAAACAAGCGCAGAAGTCGCCGCGATGCGGGACAAGCATGCCAAGACATTGGAAAGGCTGATGGATGCCACGTGTATCGAGGCCAGCGGCGAGGAAGACGAGCCACTGTCCCTCAAAAGAGCCCTGGAGAAGAATCCCAAGCTGTTATCTAACGAGGCAGACAAGCAATGGATCGCAACTGCGATGACCGTATGTGCACGCCTCATCTCACTCAACGTAATTGATGAGCGCATGGCCTATAAGGACGTGATTACAGAGCTCGCCGGAGCTCTTGTGGACGATGACATCTACCAGAAGATTGTCAGCTTTCTGGAGAAGGCTGAGTACAAGGAGAACTACTGTCTGTGGCAGGCGTTGACTAACGGTGTCGAAGAAGTGGACGTACTGAGCGGGGACAAGTGTTCGCTCCATCGCGATACAAATATACACTGCCTGCGCGTGAGAGTGGTGGCCAGGAACGAAGAGGACCATCTGGTAGTTGCCAGACGCCTCAGGGCTGAGTGAGCGGTAGCAGTCGCAAGACATCATAGACATGACGTGGAAGGAAAAGACAACACCGGTCGTGAGGCATTACCACCTCCTCCAAATCTCACACGACCGTTGTCGCCTCTTTTCTTCACATCAATGGTGATGGTTGCAGGTCATCATTGACGCAACGTGGAAGGGAAAAGACGACAACAGTCGTAAGGCATTATTGCTATGAAAGAGAGGTGACAACGGCCACATGAGATTTGGGAAGGCGACAATGGTCGCGAGGAATACTCAATACATTGGTTTTGGTGCAAAAGTTTTGCGCATATTGTGAGAGTGGCCCAGTGACCTTTGTCGTGTGAAATCTTACTTGACATCGAAGTCAGTAATAACTGAATCGACATTCTATCCAACAACGATGTGGGTTTCCGTGGCAAGTGAGCTAGCTACCTTGTGTAACGACCGCCTTAGAATCAATTAGCTGCCGTCTCCGAGACTTGCTGCCATCGAGCCGATTTGATGAGTGTGAATCTAACGAACTGGAGTGTCAGTTTCTTTTGAGAGACAGGGCGAGTAAGACCTGGCATGCCGTACTTACCTTAGTACAACATGATAATGTCACCTTGTACTTGCCGATTGACAGACAGCAGCGAGGCATGGCGACAAAACGGGGGGTGCGAAAAAAAAAAAAAAAATTTCCCGGGGCATCAAATAAACAAGATACACCCGGCACGTTTCAACCCCGGACCAACCAAAGTGCTGCAAACGGATATATACGATGACCGACTAATGACTAGGTATCTATTTACAGCCTGCGCAGGTCGGCACACATTACAACGCTGGACCCTCGGACGCAGTGATTTTAATATTGTTTTTTTTTGTTCTCTCGTTCTCTTGTTCTTACTCTATTCGCTGTATCTGCGACATTGCAGGCAAAAAGGGGACCCCTTGTCCGAGGAGGCACACGGCCACCTCAGCTTGACAGGCCGGGGGAAGAAAAAAAGGACCGAGATGAAGAGGCCACGCCCCAGACTGCAAAAATATACAAGGAAGCCCGGCCTATATTCCTTTCCCCCAGGGTATCGCCGTTTTTTCCCCAGCCACTTTCCAACTCCTCGCATGTCGTGAAAAGACGCGATTGTGATGCTTCCCACCATCCAGCTCTTCGCCCCATGTATAGATCCTCAACACAGATACAAGATATTAAAAAATAAAAATAAAAATGGACCCGCACCAGCCATGTCCGCCCACGACGGGGAAGGATACACAGCGGCGCCGAGTGCGTTTGGTAATAGGGTGCCGACGAGCCGACCTACATCGATCGACTCGCGGTAGAAGGGTATTTGTAGACAAAAAGACAAAAAAAGAAAGAAATCTCTCGAGCAGATGGGGCTCGTGGCCGAGGGGTGTGCCCTCTCTAGATGCCGTCGGTGGATACCGGGCAAACGCCTAGCATCTTGTTCAAACAGGATCCTCCAGAAGGGTATCGAAGCGTAAAATGGTGACAGATATGGAAATGGCGTCTATGTCGTCAATCAGTTCCAGCCGAGGGAGTTCTCAGCAGCAACGGGGGCCGAGATGTAGGCCGTCCTCGCAGAGTTGCCGGGGCCGCTTCCCCTAGTCCGGCCGCTGCCGTGGCTTTCGCGGCCACCGGCGGCTCCGTAGTTGGAGAAGTCCTGGCTCATCAGGGCACCGCCCATCATGGGCGGGCTGCCGGCACCGGTGTAGCGCATCTCGGATGAGGTGAGGGAGCTGGCGCGGCGGTGGGCCTGCTTCTTCTGCTTGTAGCGACGGGCAATGATGAACATGGCAGCACCGTACGCAGCAGCAACACCCACGGCTCCGATACCAATGGCGGCGGCAGTACCCTTTTGGATGGGAGACTGGTTGGAGCCGTCGTCACCGGTACCGAAGGGGTCATTGGGGTTGTTGGGGGTGGAGGTAGACGACGATCCGTCTCCGCCCGTGGACGTGCCGTCATCCTCCTGGCCAGGAATGATCTCAATGGCTGGGTTGATGTTCTGAGTAAGGTTGTAGACGAGCTGATCGGGGTTGTTGTAGATGGCCGAGTTGGGAATCTTGATGTCCATGCGCAGGGTGTCGACCATGCTCTTGGGGTAGTAGAACTTGGCGAGCGTGGTGATGTAGCCCAGAGTTTGGGACGTGTCGTAGGGGACGAGCTTGGTCATCTGGATCTGGCTAATGTCCAGACCAGCAGCATCGGCCAAAGCCTTGGGCAGGCACGTGAAGATCTGAGCAGCAGCGTTGGGGTTCTTGCTGACGTGCTGGTAGTTCTCACCGTGCAGGAAACCAATCTGGAGGAGAATGGTGTCCTTGGGCTGCTCGACGTTCGGGTCCGGGCCGCTAATGACCTTGGGAAGGTCAGAGGGCAGAGGAATGGTCGACGTCGGGGCAAGGGCCTCCGTAGGCGTGCTGAGCGAAGTAGACTGCTCGACAATGATGGTGCTGGGCAGCCAGGACTCCGAGTCAGTAATGGTGGCCGTGGCAGGGATGCTCGTGATGATGGGAGTCGTCGTAGGCGGCGGCACAGTGACAGTAGGTGTGATCGGCGTAGTCTCGATCAAGGTCTCTGAGAGAACGGTGGTGTTCACGGGGAGAGTGGTGGTCGCGGCAGGCTCAGTGGACAGAGACTCGGTAGTAGTGGGGACGACGTTGGTGGCCGTGGCGGTCTCGTTGGCAACGGAGGTCGACGAGAGGGAGGAAGGCGTAACAGTGGGGGCCACAGTTAAGCTATCCGTCTGAGTCGAGTTGCTGATGGTGGTGGAAGCCGTAGGCAGCTGAGACAAGGTCGGGAGCTGCGTGGTAGTCGGGAAGGTCTCGGTAGAGGTGGTGTTCACGGGGATCTCAACGGAGCCGGTAGCAGTGGTCGTCGGGACAGAAATGGCAGTGCTGTCAGTGATGGTGACCGGAGCGCTGGTAGTAGTCTGTCCGGCGGGGACCTCAGTCGAGGTGGCGTTGACAACATCGGAAGCGGGGAGAGCGGTCGTGGAAACAGACACGGGGACCTCGGTGGAGGAGGTGATGTTGACGACGGGCTCGCTGCTCACAACGGGGAGGCTGCTGCTCGTAGGCTCGGTGGAGATCTCGACCGAGGACGTGGCATTCGCGACGGGCTCAGTGGGTACCGGGAGCGACGTGGTGGGAGCGACAGAGGCCTCGGCGGAGGAGGTGACGTTGGCGACAGGCTCAGTCGGGATGGGCAGTCTAGTCGAGGTCGGGTCCGTGGGGGCCGGGAGCGCGGTAGGCGTCGGGATGACAACATCGGACGTCGAGGCAACAGGGGCCTCGGACGACGTCGCGTTGGCAATAGGCTCGGTGAGGTTGGTGGGAACGGCGACCTGGCTGGAAACGAAGGAGACGATGGGGTCCAGCGGGTTGGTGGGCTTACTGCTCTCGGAGACGACGGCAGATGTGGTCTCGGTGGAGGCACCAGAGGTCACCTGAACGGCGGCAGAAGTGGTGGTCTCAGCGGGAAGGACGACGGAGCTCTGGGATGACGAAACGACGGGCTCGGTAGCGTTGACGTTGGGAACCGCGCTGGTGGTCTCGGGGTTCGCAGCCGCCGAAGAACGCTGAGCCTGCTCGGCAGAGGTGGTAGCCTGGGTGCTGGAAGTCTCGGAGACGACGCCGGTGGGACCCAGGAGGATTCCAGATGAGGACGCGGTCGTGGTAGCCTCGCTCGATGCAACCTGAGTGGAGGAAACAGCCTCGGCGCTAGTAGCAGCTTGCGTCGAGGAAACGGCCTCGGCGGTCGAGTTGGTGACCTCGACGTTGGTGGGAGCAGCGGAGCTAAGGACGGCCTCGGTGGTAGGGGCGACAGACGACGCCTCGGCGGTGGTGGTTGCCTGGGCAGAAGTGGCAGCTGCCGAAGATTGAACGGCCTCGGTGGTGGTCGCAGCAGCAGCAGCAGAAGACTGGGCAGCCTCGGAAGTGGTGGCGGCAGCAGATGACTGAGCGGCCTCGGAGGTGCTGGCAGCAGCGGACGTCTGGACGGACTCAACAGCGGTAGTCGCAGCCGCGGAGGATTGTACAGCCTCGGAAGAGGTCGCGGCGGCGCTCGACTGAACGGCGGCAGTGGTGGTCTCGGGGGTTGTTGACGTGGGCTGGGTGGTCGAGGCAGCCTGCGAAGTCGAGGCTGCTTCGCTGGAAATCGTCGGGGTTTCGCTGGTCGTCGGCAGAACGGTAACCGGGGGGAGAGTAGATGTGGGCACGGCGGAGCTTGTCGTCTCAGTCGTCTCTGTCGGGTCAAAGATGACGGTGCTCGAAATGATGACGGTCGTCACTCTTCCATCGGGGAGGGTCGAGACTGTGGTGGAGATTGTCGTCGGGGGTGCGGATTCGGGGGCCGAGGAGATCGTGGACGTCGGCAACGGCGTGGGAATGGTTGACGATGAGCCAAAGAGAGAGTCCGAAAGGCTGGTGAGGATGTCACCAAACGTCGAGCTGATGGAGGCCGACGCGGTGGACTGGAAGGTGGTGCTCTCGGGCGCGGGAGGGAAGGTCTCCTGTCTCGTACTCGTCGAATTCACAAACTGTCGTTTAACGTGACGCGGAAAGTAGATCTTGGGCCGTTCCTGTTCGGCGCAGGCAGTGGAGGCCAGGCCGAGGGCGGCGGCCAGAAGAGCAGTCTTGGCGTGCATGGTTTCGTTTCCCGATTATCGTATATTCAATTGAAGGTCTTTAGCGATTGTAATGATACCAATATTGGTGTTTAGTAGATTGAGGGTCTCGACTCCATGTTAGTCTGTGTGTGTCGGTATTGACTGGTACTCCCGCGGCGACTCACTTTGTCAGGGTGTTATAGAACGAATGTACTTGACAAGGAATTGTCAATGAGCGTGATGGCGTTTGGTTTTTTGGTGTGTGAAATGAGTGACTCGACGAGATATCGTCGGATTGAGTTGGGCGAGGACGTCTATTGATCCGTCACGTCGGCTGAGATTATGGCAGTTCCAGTTGTCGAATGCATGAGGAAACTGGCAGATTGTCGGCGCGGAAACCTCGACGACGAT